TGGGGCTGCGGGTGCTGGGACTGAGGGTGCTGGAGCTGAGGGTACGGTGCCTGAGCGTACGGAGCCTGGGGGTGCTGAGCCTGGGGGTGCTGCGACTGGGGGTGCTGAGCCTGCGTGTACGGAGCCTGGGGGTACTGAGTCTGGGGGTGCTGAGCCTGGGGGTGCTGCGCCTGAGGGTACTGAGCCTGGGGGTGCTGCGACTGAGCCTACGGAGCCTGGGGTTGCTGCGTCTGGGGGTGCTCCGGTTCGGGGTGCTGAGCCGTCTCTCACGCCGCAGCAGCTTCGTGACTGGTACGTCCGGCGCTTTCGCCGTCCTCGTGGCCCTGCTGGAGTTGGAGGTTCTGGAGCTGCTCGTCCTGGAGGTGCTCGTACTGGAGGTACTGGAGCTGCCGGGGCTGGTTGTTCTGGGAGCACTGAGGCTGGAGCTGCTGGAGCTGGGGCCTCTGGGGCTGGCGGTACTGGCGGAGTTGGCGCTGCCGGCGCTGGGGGTGCTCTTCCTGGAGGTGCTGGAGCTGACGACACTGGAGCTGACGGTCTTGGAGACGTTGGTCCTGCTGGCTCTGGAGGTGCTGGCGAGGGGAGGTCTGCCGCTGCTGAGGCCTCTGGTGCTGACGTCGCCGGCTCTGGGGGTGCTGCGGCGGGGGGTGCTGGTCCTGGTGCTTCTGGTGCTGCGGGTGCTGGAGGTGCTGGCGGAGCTCCGCCGTCGCGCCTGTTCTTCGCTCCACCGTCGCCGTCGGCTTTGCCACCGCCTGACACGGTGCTTCGCCAGGTTCTTTCCCTCCCGTCTTCCACTGGCCTTCCTCTCCAGCCTGGCTCCCCCCTCCCTGCTCCTGTGCCTTACACTGCACAGCCGGACTCGCTTACGGAGCGTCGTGAGCCTGTGTCTCGTCCTGCCTCGCCTGTTCGTGCTGCTCGCACTGCTCGCACTGCGCGCACTGGTCCCACTGGTCGTCGTGTCGCGCGTCCGCGTCCTCCTCCTGTTCCTGGCACGCATATTATGGCCCTTCGTCCTTCCACTGGTCCACAGCGTGTCCCCCTACCGTCTCCTCCTGCGTCTTCTCTTCCTGACGTTCCCGACCCTGAGTCTGACAGTGTTCGTGCTGCCCACCCTACTGTTACGCGTCTTCTCGCCACTGTTGTCACTGACCCGTCGTTTGAGTCTTCTGCTGCGTCTGCCCTGGTCGCTGAGCTTGTCGACTTTGCTGCTGCCTGTCGTCTAGACTACGCCGCCAGTCTTGTTGCTGGGTCTGAGTCTGTCTGTCCTCCGTCCGTCGGGGGTGAGTGTGCTCTTGGCACGGACGTCCTTGAGGACAGGCAGGAGGACTTTGACTCTCTTGCGGCTGCTGTACCTCATCTCGTGGCCTGGTTGCTTGCCCCTGAGGGAGACCCGGATGCACTAGACATCCCCACTCCGCGCTCTTACGCAGAGGCGATCTCGGGTCCCTACTCCTCTCAGTGGCAGACAGCCATGGACGCAGAGATGGCATCCTGGAAGTCCACAGGCACCTACGTCGACGAGGTTCCCCCTCCTGGGGCGAAAATCGTCGATGGCATGTGGATTTTCAGGGTGAAGCGGCCGCCAGGTTCTCCACCTGTCTTCAAGGCTCGTTACGTTGCTAGAGGCTTTAGTCAGCGTCAGGGGGTTGACTTCTTTCAGACCTTCTCCCCCACCCCGAAGATGACCACTCTTCGGGTTCTGCTGCACGTTGCTGCTCAGCGTGACTACGAGCTTCACTCTCTTGACTTCAGCACAGCGTTCTTGCAGGGCAGCCTGCACGAGGAGATCTGGCTGCGCCGCCCACCTGGCTTTACTGGGTCGTTTCCTCCTGGTACCCAGTGGAGCCTCCGGCGGCCAGTCTACGGTCTCCGCCAGGCACCGCGCGAGTGGCACGACACACTGAGGACTACACTTGCGGCCCTTGGGTTTGCTCCTTCCACTGCTGACCCGTCACTGTTCCTGCGCACAGACACGTCGCTGCCGCCGTTCTACATCCTCGTGTACGTCGACGACTTGGTTTTTGCTACTGCTGACACTGAGGCACTCGCTCGTGTGAAGTCGGAGCTGCAGAAGAGACACACCTGCACTGACCTGGGTGAGCTGCGCAGCTACCTTGGCTTGCAGATCACCCGGGACAGAGCACGCCGCACCATCACCCTGACTCAGTCACACATGGTGCAGTAGGTCCTTCAGCGCTTCGGCTTCCAGTTCTCCTCACCACAGGCCACACCTCTGGCTACCAGCCACTCGCTCTCAGTGTCAGAATCCCAGCCACTAACCACTGGGATAAAAGGGCTTGTTTATATAGCGGGTGAGTGCGCCCATAACCCCCCAGGCCGACGTGCCTGTAACCCTTCCCTAGGATCATCGGGGATCCCCAGTGGACCTCTGACACCCCCCCGCACTGGGATGCCCGAAGTGCACACACCGGGAATCGAACCCGAGACCTTCGCTCTGATACCATGTCAGAATCCCAGCCACTAACCACTGGGATAAAAGGGCTTGTTTATATAGCGGGTGAGTGCGCCCATAACCCCCCAGGCCGACGTGCCTGTAACCCTTCCCTAGGATCATCGGGGATCCCCAGTGGACCTCTGACACTCAGCTCCACCTTCGGACGAGTCCATAGAGCCGAGTGGCCCATACCCAGAGCTTGTAGGCTGCCTCATGTACCTGATGACTTGCACGCGACCTGACCTCGCGTACCCTCTTAGCATCCTTGCTCGTTACGTTGCGCCTGGGAGACACAGGCGAGAGCACTGGGAGGCTGCTAAGAGGGTGCTGCGTTACTTGTGCAGTACATCAGGCATGGGGCTGGTGCTTGGAGGACGCGACAGAGTTGTCCTCACTGGTCACTCGGACGCTTCTTGGGTGGACGACCTGGCTACGCAGCGGTCGTCACAGGGTTACACCTTCAGCCTTGGCTCTGGTTCTGTCTCGTGGCGGTCCACCCGCTCTTCTTCTGTTCTCGGCTCTAGTTGTGAGGCTGAGATCTACGCCACGGCCATGGCTGCACAGGAGTTACGCTGGCTCACCTACCTGCTGACTGACTTGGGAGAGCGGCCTAGTTCTCCTCCAGTTCTGTACGGTGACAACAAGGCGGCCCTTGCCTTGTGTCAGGAGCACAGACTGGAGCACAGGACGAAGCACATTGCTCTTCGCTACTTTCTTGCTCGAGAGCTTCAGCAGCGCGGTCAGCTTCGGCTTGTGTACGTGGACTCGAAGGCCAACACTGCTGATATCTTCACCAAGGCGCTCCCGCCTAGTGATCATCAGCGGCACTGTACTTCTTTAGGCCTTGTGTCCACGTTTCCTCATTTGCTTACTGCTTGACATTCTTTGTACTGTACTTTATATATATCTTGCTGCTTGTCCTGTTCTATATCTAGCACTGCATGTGAACTGGCCTTGTGGCCTTTGCTTGTGCTCGGAGTGTGGTGACGTTGTGATCCACCCTGGGCTTGTTTTGCTTTGCTGGACTGGTCTTGTGACCCTTTGCTCTCCCCCACTTTGCCTATGGGGGTGTGTTAAGTTGTAATGTGTTATATATATGTGGGTAGGCTGTAGTGGGGTAGCCAATACAGGGTACAAACCCAACTAGGGTTAGCTACTTGTACCCAACTGTTTCTTTCAATGCATCATTCTTACGCTAGTATTCTGAGAGACGGGAATGTATTAATCACCCTTTTTTCCAGCAGTAGCATGAGGCGATCGTGAGGGCAGGGAGGTGGGCGATGGGAGGGTTGAGAACTAGAGAGCGACGGGAAGGTTAATAGGGGCGAACGAGAAGCGTGACACCCGGCTACTATGCGACAGTGTACACACTGGCGAATAAATGACTGAGTTCGGTAGGCAGCTGGCTAGTTTATGCCAAGCTACGTGAGCGCGAAAGCAGAAATAAGCTTGTGTAACCCAGGTCCAACTTGAACTTGGAGGTTGGGCGACGAGATGAAAACCGGCGACAATCAATCGTCGTGCAGATGCAGCCCGCAGAGATGCGACGTCGCCTGATGTGAGCAAGAAATTTTACTTTGGCGGGAACCAATCACGTAACCTCGATCTGAAGATACGAGAATGTTTGCAACAGTGTTTACCTTGGCCCCCTCAGAACCGTTTTCAAGTTGGACCTGCCTTCACTGTTTTATATTTCGGTTTTAAATGAATATAATAATACATGGTTGAATGAATATTAATAATGCAAATAATATGAATGCATTATGTGATGATGATAAAAATGCTTCAATATGTATTATGTTTGATATTGAAATGCTTGCGTACCAGTATATGATATAAATGCGTGACAGCTAACGATCCAAAAACTATGCTATCGCATCCCCTGCCTAGCATGGGGGGAGCTAATAACATAATCCTTGAACAATCAGCAGTCACATGAAACAACACAATCTGTGAACTCTAAAAAAGTGGTCAACTCTATCATCTCCAGTTCAAGTGGGCTCCCGACAGGCGCGCCAATGAACCTTCTAATGAAATGATAGACCTGACTCACCTTTTTAAAACTCACAGACATGCATTGTTATTGCAATGATGGATAAATGCACACTCAGATAAGCAAGCACATTCACAACAACCAAACGCATGCACAAAATAAGATAAAAAAAACAAAAAACAAAAAAACAAAAAAAAAAAAAAAACAAAAAAAAAGGCCGGAAACCCACGATAATACATAAAAGATGCAAAACAAATAAAAAATGGTAATACGGTAAATGCTATAAGTGACAACTACAAATTCTCCAGATTACACTCGTCTCCCTGGTCAGCAAGACTCCTGAGAACAAAAAGAAAAGATAAAGAGAAATGGAAATCATAGAAAACTGTTAAACATGAATAATCAGGATACAAAATTACGGATGAAGAAAAGTGAAGGCAAGGTAGGGTCAACATAAAAGAAAATAGAGCAAATCAAACAAAGTAGAAAACAGAAGCGTAAAATTGAAGCATAAAACGGAAGCAGAAAACGAAAGCAGAAAATGGAAGCAGCAATCTAAAGCAGTAAACATGGAGAGAGAGAGCGAACGACAGAGAGAGAACGAGAGACCGAGAGAGAGAGAGAGAAAACGATGGAGAGAGAACGAGAGAGAGAGAGAGAGAGAGAGAGAGAGAGAGAGAGAGAGAGAGAGAGAGAGAGAGAGAGAGAGAGAGAGAGAGAGAGAGAGAGAGAACGAGAGAGAGAGAACGAGAGAGAGAGAGAGAGAGAGAGAGAGAGAGAGAGAGAGAGAGAGAGAGAGAGAGAGAGAGAGAGAGAACGAGAGAGAGAGAACGAGAGAGTGATAACGAGAGAGAGAGAGAGAACGAGAGAGTGAGAACGAGAGAAGGAGAAGAGAGAGAGAACGAGAAAGAGAGAACGAGAGGGAGAACGAGAGCGAAAGAGAGTCCAATAAACTACGGTTTCGAAAAAAAACCTATGTAGTATTCAAATCGGGTTGCAAGAACTCCGAAGGACGTAGCATCTTGGGTTGCAGCCCTTGAAATGCGACGTATACAGATAAATGGAACCGACATACTGCTACGACATAAATTATGCAAAGAAACAAATACGGACGAAAACAAGAAAACCATGTTAAGGTCTCTTACGGAGAGTTTCGGTGCTAAACATTGAACAAAGAGAAAAGGCAATAACGACGGCGTATAACTAATAGACCAAGGAAGAATGAAAGATTAAGATGCACCCGAAAACGCAGAATGACCAGTATGGAAACGACTGGAAGTTCTCTATCGAATGTTAAGAAGCAAGAAGGGAGAAGACGAAGTAACGGAGGAAGAAAAAGGTAGAAAGAACTTAGGTTGGGAGACGAAAAGAACGGCAGAAAGAATCGAGGAGAAAGAGGAGGTGCGGGGGAAGAAAGAAATCGAGCGTATAACAATACCACTGGTAAGAAACGACCAACCTCCTAAGGTAATATGGCTAGAGTGTCTTAATGCTACATAATAGCAACTTCTAGCGAGCTACTTATAGGTAGTCGATAGATAAAAAGCACCCACTCATTAATTAGTCTATTATATACCATCTACGATCTAGTTTATAGATTATTCTCACCAGTGGTGGCAGTAGGTCGCGGGAGTATGAAGAACCTAGCTTACGAGAGGAAAGAGAGAGAGGAAAAAGAGAAGAACAAACCCTAAGAAGTTTTAGTTTCGTCGCAGTTATAACTGACGTACGGAGTACGTTGTGAAGAGGTACTAGTAGCTGCGGTTGATTTCGGGGCGCGAAATCGAAAGCACTCGGGTTCCAATCTTGCTGAATACAATAAAGAGCATAACTTCAAATTCATTGTAACAGCATTAAGTGTCACTCAATTTTATTACTAATAAAGACAAACTGTATAAATAAAAAATAAAACCTGCACTTACGCAAAGTGTTGCTTCGCAACCCTAAGACGATTTCGTCGTCTCTTGTTTTTTTTTTTTTTTTGATAATTGTAAGTGTACACCGAGTAAGTAAGCATACACTAACAAGAACGGTCGTAACCGTGCGTGAGGAGCTAGAGTGTGACCTCGTACTCCAGATAAGGTTTCTAGGGCCGGGTGTTTCTCGCCCTTCGCGCCGACCAAATCGCTGCAAAACCATTCGTCCACTTCAAACTGGTGCCATCCAATTTTATCCTCCTCAGCATGTCCCACTCCTTCGATGAGTCCCGCCACCTCTGCTTCCGCCACGTCGACCCAAAATGATGGGTGTACAACTTCACATGCTGCCGGAAAGCCACCTCGATCCTTCGTAGGACCCGCTGCGTCCTGAATCTCCTCCCTCGGAAAACCGCTTCACAACGCTCCAGCCACAATTGATGCAATGTGATGGATGTCAACGTCAGCTCCGGAAAAGCTGAGCTGGTCCCCGTCTCTCCAAACAGTAAATCCCCCAACACGTCCGTCGCACGGCCAGGATTGAGCATGCGCAGAGCGCGCCGGAGAGCTGTGGGCACCACCTAAATCCTGGGGCAGAGCAACCGGCAGTGCTCCAGTGTCTCCTCACCCCCACAGTACGGGCAGACCGGTTTACTGCTGAGAAAAGCCAGCCGTTCCCCCACTTGAAGGTTCAGGCCGTGGATCCGGATCAACACATCCCGCGGACGGCTGGGAACCGCAAGGGAGTCCCGCGTGGAAACAATTTTCTTCCAGTCAATGTGACCTCCCCATCTCGCCGCCCATTTTGCACGCTTGTACGATTCCTTGTGCGTGTCCTTCCATCCGTCTTTCATCCGCTTCATCGAAATAATCCGCCCCTCCTCCAGGATCAGCAGCTGCGAAGGGGAGTCAGCCGAGCAGGAGAGAACAGTTGGAAACCCCAGCGTTCTGTTCCAGGAAGCTGGTGTGAGAGTACGACGGCTTTGCTATGATTTACTAGCTTGATTATGCTTTATTATGCATTATCTAGCTTAGCTTTGCTTTATTTTGCTTGCTTTTGCTAGATTTCCTAGGTTCGTTGCTTTACTATATTTATTATAGTTATAGGCACCGAACTAGGTTGAGTGCACCGAATTCTAGGCTTTTCGGTTGCCACCGAATTGCCTTCTACCGAATTCGGGAAGGACCCGTTCGGGACGCTTCGCGACCCGCGGAACCTTCTAGTAACACCAGGGTTACTGCCTTTGTGTCGAGCCTATATATAGCCTCGCCTTGTACCCAGGTGCATCATTCAGTAGTTCAATCTTACCTGAACCAGATCCACTCACTTGGTGATCAGAGCAGGTTTACACTCGAGTTCTTCTTCCGCTTAGTTCCGGCCTTTAAAAACCGCGGGGGCGACGACGGACGCGCCGATACGGGTATGTAAAACCAGTTCCGCGCGATTTTTTCTAAGTCCCCCTCGATTCGGTTTTAAACACACCTCAGGAATATTGGTAAAAAAGTTGGAATTTCGACCGTCAGATCGAGTTTCTCCTCAACGGCCGAGATCGGACGTGAATTTCGCTTACGGGAGATTACCGCGACGTACAGAATTCGAGCTCGTCGATTCTACAGTCGATTCGACTCGCAGTAAGTCGACCAGCACCCGAAATTCAATTATTTTCGTCGCGCATCTTTCTGTAAATCGCCAATAGGGAGGGAAATAGAGATTTCTTTATACGAAAAATCGCGGAGTTACGTGCTGAGCATAAGCAGATATTTGCGGCGCTCCCACGACTCGAAAAACTCCTTGCGAACCAATCGGTAGCCGCAGCAGCAGCAGAAGCGACGACGGCGACACCGATAATTGTACTGTCAGAATATTATGCTCTAGCCTGTAGCGAGTACAACCCTTCTAGGGTTTGCTATTTGTATCCCCATTCTTGCTAGTGCAACCCCTCTCTTTCGCCTAAACTCTCTTGCCTAGCTAGGACTCTCCTAGCTATGGCTCCTAAGACTACCGCTCATCTCAACATGTACCTGCGACAACGGCAGCAGCTACTTTTATATTATCGAAGCAGTAAAGCCGAGGCGACCAGACGCGTTCGATCCTAGAGCGAAAGGGAGCGACGTCTGTCGATTTGTAGCTGTATTATAAAATTTCTTCGAAGCCGTTGGATGCACGACCCTCAACCAAGACGCATTGCGCATACGGCTCGCAGCAACACTGTTACGAGGCCCAGCTCTAGAGTGGTTTAGTAACCGAATAGTCCAAGGCGAAGAGACGTGGGCGCAGTTTCGGGCAGCACTGATCGGACAGTTCGACGCGTTGAACAGTAGCTACTACGGAACACGACGCAACAAGCCAACTAGTGGCATGGAGCGATTGGCATCACCCACGACTGCCGACCCGATGGAGAACGACAAGGACGATGCGACGCAGCGGCTAGCAAAAAATGCGACGTGCGAATTTTGCGGCGCTACAGGACATCGTATCTTGGCGTGTTGGAAAATGAAGAAAGTACGTACGGAGCTGAAGGGCAAGAACAGTGTAGCACCCCCGAAGCAGAAAACGGACAACGTGGCAACTTCGGAGAGGGCGAAAAAAGGAGAATACGGTGGCGCGAATTTAAAACGTCACGACCAGCCGGCACCAGGGGAAAACGCCGAGACAAATGGAGACTCCGCGAAACAAGACTCTGCACCGACTGGGAAACTCCAGCCGTACACCCCGACAAGTAAGAATATTACTTCTCGTGGTTTTCAAGCCTATTTTAAGGGAGAGTCAGAAATTAAACCGGTACTGGGGACCCTACTCCGGAGCGCTAATAAGGGTCGAGCGTTCCGAGGAGTTAATATTCTCTCCCAGCAGCCCTGTTCAAAGGCTCCCGGCCGTTCCCCACAGGAGCCTACACAGCTGCAAAGGCTTAGGGGAAGGTTCCAGGCCCTAGAGAAGCTGAATCGGCCTCGGATAAATCCTTCTATCCCTGCTAAGTTGGAAACTGAGTCAGCAGCTTCGAGCGCAGGACCAAGGGACGACACATTTGATCTACCTTATGATCCTGTAAGCAACACCATCTACACCTACTCGGAGCGGCAGCAGCCACTAGTACTCGAGGTGATCTGCAACGGGCGACGCCTCCAGGCACTGGTGGACAGTGGTGCGTCCCACTCGGTGTGCGACCGCGGGACGTTGGAGAAAATCGGAGAGTCATCGGAGGAGACCCAGTTTACAGCAACGATGGTGGACGGTACGAAGCTTCCCATCCACGGCGAGTCAACACTGCAGCTGCAGATAGGGGCGTTAAGGTGGAAGCCGACGTTGCCGATCACGAACATCAAGGGTTTAGATTTCATCTTGGGGCGTGATTTTCTGAAGCGGTTCAACCCCGAGATTGACAGGGTCAACCGGAAGGCGTGTATCTACAACAACGGGAAACGTGTGGAGCTGCGAAGCTGGACGGATACAGGGGATGTTCCTGAAACGACACTGGCGCGGTTTGAACGGACGGTGTATGAAAGTAACACGGGTTACTTAGCACTGGTTATGGCAGCAGCAGAGGAGGAAAAGCCGAACTCGGAGCTACCTGCAGCAGTAAAGGAGGTGTTGGAGCAGTACCAGGATATCATGCCAGACGACCTACCTGCAGGAGTACCTCCAGCGCGCACCCACGAGCACGAGATCGTGGAGGAACCAGGTGCGAAACCCGTCTCACGTGCACCATACCGACTGAGTCCGACCGAACAGACAGACATGAAGAAACAGATAGAGTATCTACTGGACAGACAACTGATCCGCCCATCCACCTCTCCCTACGGTGCACCGGTTCTCTTCACTCCAAAACCAGACGGTAGTTTACGGATGTGCATCGACTACCGCGCACTGAACAAACAGACAGTCAAGAACAAATACCCCATACCGCGCATAGACGATCTTCTAGACCAACTGCGTGGTGCGACGGTGTTTTCGAAGCTGGACCTACGGTCGGGTTACTGGCAGATCAAGATGGCGGACAACTCGATCCACAAGACGGCGTTCCGTACCAGATACGGCTCCTACGAGTACTTAGTGATGCCGTTCGGACTCTGCAACGCACCAGCGACGTTCCAAGCGGAGATGAACCACATCCTACGGCCCCTGCTGGACGAGTGCGTGGTAGTGTACCTGGACGACATATTGATCTACTCCAAAACCATGAAGGAGCACGTGGAGCATCTGCGGAAAGTCTTCG